GCCACTGAGTCCTTTGTTCTCTTCCACTGGTGGTCTTGCTTATCCCTACACAGAGGAATTCTGTGACCTTGTGCTGTTTTCATCTCTGGAGTCAAGTATTCATTCTAGGCTCTTCTTTCATTAGCTTTACTTAGCTCTTTAAGAGCTCTATGCCTCCATCTAAGTCATAAAATGAGTTTTCTCAGAGACTATAAAGTGAACTGGAATTTTTATTGGAACTTCATTGATTAAATTCTTTGTGAAAGGTTTTTAACTTTTCCTATGAAGTCGTCTATCTGAGAACATGGGACAAGTACCTCTTCCTATTTCTTGTTACCCTGTATATTTGCTATATTGTAATTGTGGGAAAACAAATACTAAAAATGAAGAAATTTGTACAGACTTGAGAGAAACAGACAGGGTGCTGAGGTGAAGGGGGTCATGGGTCAACCACTGGAGCCAAAGGCCTTATAAGGTGATGACCAAAACAAAGCCTGGCTTAATCACATATATGAGCAGTTGTTGTTGTTATGTGCCGTGGAGTAGGTTTTGACTCATAGTGACCCTGTACAGGGTTTCCGAGGCTGTAAATCTTTACAGGAGCAGAAAACCTCATCTTTCTCCCGCGGAACAGCTGGGAGTTTTATACAGCTGACGGTGAGATTAGCAACCCGATTCGTAACCACTACGCTACTAGAGCTCCTTAAATATTGAGTGGTGATGGTAGTTATGTGCCATGGAGTCAGTTCTGACTCATAGTGACCCTGTACAGGGTTTCCAAGGCTGTGCAAATCTTTACAGGAGCAGAAAGCCTCATCTTTATCCCACGGAACAGCTGGTAGTTTCGAACTGCTGACCTTGTGGTTTTCAGTCTGATTCTTTGCAGCCCGATTCATAACCACTACACTACCTAAGTTCATCCTTCATCAGCATTTTGGGTAGCTACTGTTATCCCTGCTTAAAAAAGAAAAAGCCACCCGTGGTTCAATTTTCAGCCAAACAATAGAGGTCTATAGAGGGAACAGTAATACTAGCGTAGTAAGCAAAAGTAGCATCTACCCAAGGGAAAAGTTCAGCAGGCTTCGAAAAGGAGAAACGGAAACATGAAATATAAGAAATGGACGAGTGAGGTTACATTGGGCGATTGCAGTCAATGAGATGAAATAAATTGTATGAATCACTGAATGTAAAACTGATGATCTGCTCTGTAAACCTTCACCTAATTCACAATAAAAAGTTTAAAAGAACAAGTATAAAAGGTTGCCGTTGAGTTGATTCCAGCTCATGGTGGCCCCATGGGTGTCAGAGTCGAGCTTCACTCCACAGGATGCTCAGTGATTGGTTTCTCAAAAGTAGGTTGCTTAGTCTTTCTTCGGAGGCACCTCTGGTTGAACTTGAACCTCCAACCTTTTGGTTAGCCACCGCGACTTAACCATGTGCCACCTAGGGAGTACTACTTCATAGGCTGAGAAAGGAATTTGCTCCAGGTAGGTTGACTTCAGCATCCTGGTGTGGCGCTCTAGGATAAAGAACTGGACCACAGGTCAGCTTGAAACACAAGGTTGGTGGTTCAAACCCACCAGCCATTCCTCAGAAACCCTACACAGGGTCACTATGAGTTGGAACTGACTCAACAACACTTAAAAACAACAGGTTGAGTTCAGTGTTTGTACTTTTAACCTTGTTGTCGTCCCAACTCCTGGGCCTTTAGGACAGTATCCATCCTGGGCCTTGGAATGTAATTTTGCCAGTGCTCCTCTGGGCCTTTGCAGAGACGCCCAGCTTGACCTTCAGAGTTGTTGTTTGTAGAGCCCCCAGGTGATAAAGGACCCTTGCCCCTCCACCTGGAGTGCAGAGCCAGCAGGAGCATACCCCAACTTTAGCCACCCTCTCCATCTGTGCCTGGAAATCAGCCATTCGAGGCTTGAGGTTTGGCTGCCCCACAGCCTACTGAGCATGTCTGGGAAAATCACAGCCCAGGGTTTCCTGTGAGACTCAGGGATCAGGAACAAGGTGATACTTCTTGAGTTCAGGGAATACCCTAGGAGGAGGCTCTGCAGCCCAGGGAACACCTCATGTTGTTGTGCCACTGAATTGATTCTGACTCACAGTAACTCTAGAGGACACAGTAGAACTGCCCAAGCTCTATTTCCAAGACTAATCTTTATGGGTTGAGTCGGGCAGTTCTCAAGGTCAGCAGTTCGAAACTACCAGTGGTTCCATGAGAGAAAGATGACGCACACCACCAACTAACCAACAACCAATCTTTATGGAGGAGTCCTGGTATAGCGCTGTAGGATAAGCACTGGATTGCTAACTGCAAGGTTGGCAATTCAAACCCAACAACCACTCTACGGAAACCCTACACAGGGTTGCTATGAGTCGGAATCAACTCGACCACACTTAACAACAACAGATCTCTATGGAAACAGATCACTAGGTCTTTTTTCCTGCAGATCAACTGACAGGTTTGAATCATCCACCTTTCAGTTAGCAGCTGAGTGCTTAATCATTGTACCACCAGGGTTCCTAGCTTCAGCACAACTTTCTGAGTGTACTAGGCAAGTTGCTGGGCCTCTCTGGGTCTTCAGTTCCTCATTGGCCAAGTTGTAGAGGAAATCTGGAAAGGACCTTTAACCTCACACAAGTCAGGCTGCTAACTGTAAATCCAAAATTACCAGCCATTCATGGGAGAAAGATAAGGCTTTCTGCTCCAGTAAAGATTTGCAGCCTTGGAAACTCTATTCAGGGTCGCTATGAGTCTGAACTGACTTCACGGCACACAATCACCATAATCAAGTCTCTTCTTTTACTTATGAACCCCAGAGGGTCATGATTTGCTTTATGTGAGGGTTCCACTTAGTTTTTCTTTACATCAAGGAATCTTGGGGAGCCAACCAACTCCTATTGCATCTGTGCCAGGCACTTTACTTTTGTCATCTCAATCCTCTCTGGACAAGACAAGGACTTCTATAACCCCTATTGCACAGAAGGAGAAAGTAAGACTTGGAGAGGTGAGCTGACATGCCCAGGATCACCCAGCTCCTAATAAGCAGATCCAAAATTTGAACCCAGGTCTGTCTGAGCCTGGAGCAGCAAGCTGTTCTTTCTGAACACAGTACACTAACTATGACTCTGATGTCAGGGAACCGAGCCTATCCCCTTGATAAACAGACGCTTGTGAAGATAAACCCAAAATCTAGCCAGTTTGTCCACAAAAACTGACAATGTGGCTCAACAGATGCAATGTTCAGACCTCAGAATTTCCTGTCCAGGAACACAGAGAGCTGCGTAAAGCCAGGGCTGCTACCTTCCCCTCTGTTTGCAGGGTAGGAGGAGGGAGAAGCAAGGGCTTCTGGGATTGCCATCCAGTCAGACATCAGCCTCAGCATCTGGGAGTTGAAGGCAGCTGGCAGCCCACGACCTTTGGGCTGTGATAAAAAACAAACCAAATAGACTGCGTGGTTGAGTGAATTCTGACTCATAGCAACCACATCTAGGTTTTCTGAGACTATAAATCTTTATGGGAGCAGACAGCCTCATCTTTCTCCTAAGAACAGCCTGGTGGGTTTGAACTGCTGAATTTGTGGTTAGCAGCCCAGTGCCTAACCACAGTGCCATCAGGTCTCCTTTTGGCTGTGAGAGAAGATCTAATAATAGTAACTTCTCACTTGTGGAAGGCACTTGACAATCAGGTGGGGATTGGGTGGGAAGGGGGAGCTTTCCTGCTATACTTAGTAAGTTAAGGCTAGAATTGTTGTTAAGTGCTGTCCAGTTGGTTCCGACCCTGTATAGGGTTTCCGAGTAGCAGCTGGTGAGCTTGAACCACCGACGTGACCTTGTGGATCAAACTTGTAGTCCAGCGCATTAACTCACAGCACCACACTGCTAGAGAGGGGGCAGGCATTTATAGAGTGGAGTCCAAGGAGGGTGCTGATGCCAAATGCTTGCTGCCCTCAGATTCAGGCAGACCCAGGGACTGCGGTCTCCCTGTCTGTCTTCTCTCTTTCTGTCTTTATCTCAGCTTCTATCTCTACAATCTCTCTGTTTCCTGCTGAGGAAACCAGCCTGTGATGGAGAGATGGAGATGCAGCCCCCATGAGAAATGACAAACCCCACCTAGTCTGAACTGGGAAACACTCCCTTGGCTCAGGGCCCTGTCAAGTTGGAACCAAACTCACACCCATATTCATCTGACCAACAAATATTTATTCAGACCTGAACTCCAGGCCCTCGGCTCAGCTGGGAGGAAATGGTGAGGCAATCAGTGGTGGTCCCTGTTCCACTGGAACGCCAATTCTGGTGGAAATGCTAAGTCCACTCCCCCACCTGCGCCCCTTGGCTCCATACACTGAATGAACCGGAGCAAAACCGCCCACCCCTCAGGTGTGCAATGGAAGTGACCTGCTGCCAGTGCGTCTGTTAGAGTGGAGAACCCATGATGTGCTCTGCAAATCTGTGTCCCCTGATACCTGGAGGGCTGTAGCCCCTGAGTGCCTGGGGATAGACCCTGTGGGGGCTGGCTGTGACCAGGGGCAGGCTGGATAGCAGAACCAACCCCCCAAAACTTCTCTAATGCCTAAGAAGACAATCACCTTCTAGAACCTTCTCTTCAAAGTACAGGCAGCCTGGAGTTGGAGTCCTAGGAGGAAGTGACAAGGGGAAGGAGGGGAGAGCCTGGTGCTCCTAAAACAGACTCTCCTACTTAAGCTCAGACCCTAACTGAGACCAGAAAGGGGGTAATGGCGGAGAAGGGCTGCTTTGCTACAAAGGGAGGAGGAGAGAGGGAATGTATCGTTCTATGCTGGATTATAGGACCCTTCTGCAATCCTGGATTCACGGACTCTTAGACCCGTAGGTGCATCTGGATGGGGCATTTGAAGTCTCTATCTTCCCCTCCCCAGCCACAGTTTACAGAAGAAACCGAGACCCAGAGAGATGTAGGGACCCACCCAAAGTCACACAGCAAGTCAGAACTGAGCCCAGGGCTCCCGGTCCCAATTTAGCCACATGGCACTTCCTTAGCCACGAGACACAGAGTGGTCCTGGTCAACCCGGGCAGTTCCAGAAGAGGAGGACGTGGCATGCTGACTGGGAAAGTAGAAGATGATGAACCAGCAGAAGATGAAGACCCCTGTCAATGAGGAGAAGGGCCACCGTAAGCAGCAGGTCAGGCCACGCAGGGAGAGGGGCTTTTAAAAACTCTGCTCAAAAGACATGGGACGGGGGGTGGTGGAGACAAGCAAAAATGAAATCTATTTCTAGAAAAACAAAAAACAAATAGATGTTTAGAAAAAATAGAATCTCTGAAATAAAAAATCATAGCCATCAAGATAACTCTAGATGGAGTAAATAGAATGCAAAGTTGGTAGACACAGCGTTAAGGAATGTCCCCAGAATCCAGCACAGAAAGCATGTGTGTGTGTGTGTGTGTGTGTGTGTGTGTGTGTGTGTGTGTGTGTGTCTGCGTGTGGAGCCTGCACACCCATCTCACCTTGCAGAGAGTTGAGGACTGCAAAGATATAGACAGTGGACAGGCCCAGCGGCGTGAGGATAGCCAGCCCCCATGTCACGCCCACCAGGCTGGAGAGGCCCAACACAGTAAGGACCCCTTTCCAGTTCGGTCCCTGTTCTTTGCCCGCCATGGCACTTGACAGAGTGAAGATCTTCCAGGCCACCAAGGCCAGGACCACAGCGCTGAAGAGGAAAGTGATGAGGAAGTAGCCATGGACGGTGACGTAGAGGGCAGTGTTCTTATGGAACCAGCACCTGGAGGAAGAAGAGGGCCACTGGGACTGGGAGAGATGGGGCGCCACTGGCTAAACTTGGAAAACCAAGATGTCTTAGCTTGTCTCTACTCACCCACCCGCTTTCCTCCCAGAGCAGGAGCTGTCAATGGGTTCAAGGATCTCACTTGACCAGCGTGTGCAAAAGGACCAATTTGTCCCCGTAGGCATTTTCATTTGCCACACCTCCACTAGATTATTATTATTTTTTTAATGGAATAGCTACCCTCTAAAAAACAGGTTTGGCATAAATATCTAGATTTCTGCTTCTCTTATAAAACCGTATAACTGGCGGCTCCACACATTGTCCTGAGGGTCCATTAGCCACATCCCCACAGTCTTCATTTGGCCTCTGTGGCCCCTACGTTTTAGACCCTAGGGACAGGACCGTAGCCCTGCTGGCCCTTCCTAGCACAGAGCTGTGGACTCAGAGGCAGGTACGTGAAAGCGTCAGTGCAGAAGTTTACAGGCTGAGCACAAGTCACTGCTCCTTGCACTGCAAGGACAAAAGGCCTTGGAAAGACTTGTTGATCAGTCCATTATACAGATGGGGACACTGAGGTTTGTCTTGAGGGGCTTGTCCAAGGTCACATAATGATTCAGGATCAGAGCCTGGTCTAGAACAAATGATTGGGCAGGTTGTATCCTACACAAGGGTACCTGGCCAAAGGGGCAAGTAAAGCTGAAATTCTGCATGCCCTCCACTTACCAGGCTGAGTACATGGGGGAGGAACTTTCTTCAATTTGCCCGATGGGCTAGTGAGAGCCCAGGATAGAGCCCAGTTTTGTGGCTAGTTCTGTCTCCCTCTTCTCAGGCCCCCTCTCATTTTCCTTCCTCTCTCTGATCCCTGGTATGGTGCCAGTAGGATAAGCACTCAACCTCAAGGTTAGTTTGAACCACAAGGTCAGCAGTTCAGACCCACCAGCTGCTCCTTGGAAACCCTATACAGGGTCACTGTGAGTCAGAACCAATTCAATGGCACTTCACAATTCCGAGACTAATTTTACCCCACTAATGTAATGAACTGGAGTCCTGGTGTGGTGCTGCAGGATAAGCACTGGACTGTTAACCTCAAGGACAGTGGTTTGAACCACTAGACACTCCTTAGAAGCCCTATGCAGGGTCCCTATAAGTCAGAATGAACTCAAGGACGCTTAACAACATGCCATGAGCTAGCTGGATCTGAGGAACGTTCTAGCCTTGGCATAATCCATCCCTGCCCTCCCCCTGGGCCCCCCAGCACCACTCACAGCTCCAGTGTAGTACGGTTGTCCTCATCATGGATTCTGTAACGACCATAGCTGTTGGCACTCCCGGTGCAGATGACCACCAGAGCAGGGAGGCCTGGGAAGAAGTGTGGCATTGCCAATCTCCCTGGCCATGCCCACCTCTATCCTCCAGAACCCCTCCAATTGCCCATCCCTAGAGTCTTAGGCCTGTCTGACAGCTCCTTCTGCCCCAGGGAAATTCCCTTGATGTCACCACCCGCTCAGGGCCTGGCTGGAGGGCAAGTCCAACCCAGCCATCTCCTCTACTTGTTAAGTCAGCACCTACCCCAGCCCACAAGGTTCAGCTTCAGGAGGTAGTGGCCAAAGTAGGTGTTGAAGACCCTGAGGATGAGCAGGTAAAGGTGGAAGGCTTCCAGGCCCATCCAGGTGAAGGTACAGAGCAGGAAGTAGTGGAAGACAGCTCCCCGGGCCCAGCAGGCAGCATTGGAACCCTGAGAGCCACTCCCCACAATGATGAAGAAGGTTAAATTCAGGAGAAACAGGCTAATGCTCAGGGCCACGTGGATCTTGGTGGCATCTTCTGACTTAAACCTCTGCCGGGAGAACCTGGGTAGGGAAGGGCCAATTGGAGACATGAGGGGCCACATCTCTCATAGGGCACATAGGCCTTTCCACCTTACCTCCTCAGTTGTACCCTGAGCCCTTGGTTCTCCTCTTGATCTTCCATCTTCTGTCCCTGCCCAGCAGCCAGTGTGTGAGTGCCGTCAGGTTCAAGTCCAGGCTCCCTCTCATGGCTTACAGGAGCCTACATGTTCCAGGTCTAGCCTCAACTCTTGACTGAATGCTCTATCAAAACTGTATACCTTGCAATTCACCTGAACACCTTCTGCTTTTCATGCCTCTGGCATTTTACCCATGCACTTCCCTTTGCTCTCCATGCCTTTCCGTGACCCTCAGCTCCTCTCACCTTCTGTGCCTGCTGACTCCTACTCCACCTTCAAAACTCCCCTGAGACGTTTCCTTCTGAGGAGGTCCCTGCTTGGTGATGTCTAGTCAATTTCTATAGCAGGGAGAACTACCTCATAGATTTTCTTGGCTGTAATCTTTATGGGATCCATGGAGCTGCTGGTGGATTCGAACGGAAACACGGTTACCTCTTAGCACCTCTTTAACTGTCATGGTGCCAGGGTGGATTTGGAAGTTTCTCTCCATCACAGTGTACCTCTACTCTCCCCCGTTTCTACCTGAACTTAGGGCCTAGCACAGTGGGCAAGAGGAAGCCCTGGCTTCTGTTGGTTCAGTGAATAGATGCTGAAGCTTACAACAGATGTAGGGTGGGTAACACTAACTCTGTTTGGAGAGATGAGACCCAGAGAGGGACAAGGAGTCGCTTCAGCCTCCCTGCTCAGTGCTGCTTCCCCGGTTCACCCCCCACCCCACCCCGCCCCCAATGAAGCTCCTATTCTGCATTTTTGGCAATCCAGAGCCCACGGGACTCTCATCAGAGGGATGGGAGCCCAGGGCTGCCTGCAGGGGCATGTGGGATGATGTCCACCTCACCTGAGTTGCCAGGCTGCACCCTTGGGTGCTGGTGACAGTTCCTCCCGGTGCGCCAAGCCCGGCTCACAGGATACTGCAGTGCAGCTGGCTGGAAAGTCACGCTCAGCTTGCTGGGGGTGGGAGCCGTGTCCTATGCCAGGGCTTGGGGGGGCGGGGGCAGGGGTGGCACCACTTACGCTTGTGGTTCAACCTAAGGTGGACTAGGAGGGGCTGCGGGAGGCTTCAGCACTGGGCCCTCCCTGCAAATGACGTAGCAAGTCCTGCAGGAATGGGCTCGTGCACACACACAATGGATGCATGTAAAATGTGATGGAAATGTCAGTTTCCTGGTTTTCATATTGTACTTCAGTTAAATAAGATGTCACCTTTGAGGAGCGGGGGCAGGGGGGGTTAGGAAACTGGAGTCAGGGTCCACAAGACTTCATGTTCTACTTTTGTAACTTCTTGTGAGTCTATAATTATTTCTAAACTAAACTAAAAAATAAGTATTTTACAGAAGCAAACCACTTAAAATAAACTTAAAAATAAATTCTTAATTTGGGGATTTAGTCTAGAAATATAGGGAGAGAAGAATCCCCTTTTATTCTTGCCTGAGAAGCTGTGATAAAAGCCTGGGGCTTCCAGAGGCCCACGGGTGGGAAGGAGCTGTCTGACAATCCTATCACAGAGGAAAGCAAAGTTTGTGCTCTAGAAGGGGTGACACCTTTTGAGCTCCTGTATCCAACCATGCCTGAAGCCAGCACTCCTCAGGCCTTTCAGTTGCATGAACTGCACGTACCTATTACGTTTGAGCCAATTTGCATCAAGATTCTATTTCTTGTTACTGAAAAGTCCAGACACATTTAAACCTCTATTTCCGTTTTGTGGATAAGAAAACAGGCCAGGAGAGGATGTCAGTATGACACTTTCTACCTTGCCCTGCTGCATCCTGAGGGCAGGAGAGGGTTGCTGGGTAGGATTTGGGGGTCACTCACCTTAGCACAGTGTAGAAGATGATAGTGAAGGTCAGGAATAGCATGGAGGCACCACAGCCCGCCTGGGAAATGTATGTGAGCGCCTGGACAGTGGCCTTATCCAGGATCGGCCTCTGTGGGTGACCTCCCCAAAAGTTGGGCCCTGTCAGATCCCACTCACAGGTCCTGGCCCCCTTTCCAGACAGGACCCTCTGAAACTGCTGGGGTTAGGGTGGAGCAGGACATTACCAGCAACAGGGCGAAGAAGGTCAGGTGGTCACAGCGACACTTAGTTGTTCCACGTTTGTGGTGCGTGGAGCAGCCCTTGGATGACCAGTCTCCTATCAGCCGTGGAAGAGGAGACCCCAGGAAGGGAGGGGAGGGGAGAAAAGGAAGGAGACACACCTGAGGGTGAAGCTCATTCTGCCAGGCCCCCTCCCCCACCTCACCCCAAGAAGGTCCACCAGGCCCTACCTTTAGTCACATCCCAGAATACACAGGTGAGGGTCATGTTCTGAAACTAGAGGATGGGAGTCAGCGGAAGGCGAGAAAGTGGGGCAGCAGATACTCACATGTCCTAGCATGTGTGCACCAGGAAGAAAGCCAGGCTGACTCCATGGGCCACAGAGGAAAACAACATGTGCCAGCATAAATATGGCATGAGGTATAGGGGTTGTGTGTCTGTGTGACTTGGGTACATGGATGTGGGTAGATGTGATGTCACTGTGTGCATGCTGGTTTGCTGGTCCTATGTGCATCTCTGTGGATGGGGAGAGTCTGGGAGCATGTGTGCATATGGGTGTAAGATCTGGAGGGTCCTAATGTGTAGTCCTGTGTGCACGTGAGGGGGAGCCATGTCCTGTGCTTGTCTGCTCAGAGTCTATATGCCATTGTGGGCCCAGTGCTGTTAGCCCCACTGTGACTCTCAGCCCTGGGTAGGGGACTCACGGAAAGGTTCTGCTGGTGAGAGAAGGTGATCTCCACAGGCTCGTCCAGCCCGGTGACAGGTGTATTACCCACACTCAAGCCCACCAGATGATTGTTCAACACACTGCCGCCATCCTCCTGGCTGAGCCGGGGGCCCTGTGGTGTGGAGAGAGGCCAAGCTTCAGAAGGGCTGTCCCAACTCCAGCCCTGGACCCATGGTCCTTGCCTGGATGGCAAAGACTAAGGACAAGGGCTCCCCTGAGACAAAGCGTCCACAACGCCAGGCCTCTGACCGCTCTCAGCTGCAGGTCTCCTGAGCCTCTCTTCCCCCTTAACCAGAAGACACACAACCAGGATAAAGGTCTTCCTAGAAATGAAGGCCAGTGAGTGCATGCAGGTGGGTGAACAGCTGCCCACACCAGCACTTGGCGTGAACGTATGCACAAAGTGGTCCCACACCTCTGACACCAGCACCTGACAGACACGTTTTCATGGGCATGGGTACCCTTGCTCATGTGAACAAGGCCACATATGAGCACACAAGGAACATAAAATGATCTGCATGCTTGTGTGTGTGCATGGACACAGGAGCACATGAACAAGTCCATGGCCCCGGTGTGAGGGGTGCCAGACCTCTGAGTGGATAACTCCGCTGCAATAAGGTTCTGAAGTGTCCATTGTCATGAGGTTGCTTTAGAAACCTTTTTGAGGTTCAACCCCACCTCCATGCTCACCCAGTCCCTGAGCAAAGATGCCCCAACAAAGGGTGATATGGGACCACGAACCAGGTGAACCTGACATTTAACCACATCCTGAGCCAACTCAAGCTTCTCCTCACCTTGAAGAGATTCCCAGAACCAATGTCCAGGATAGTTATGGCTAACCGGACCATAGGCTTCTTGCCCCGAAAGGATCCAAAAAAGCTCCGGGGAAGCTGGACTGTGTCGGAGGTCTTGTCTTTATTCTCCATCACCTGCCTTGGGATCTGCAACAACAGATCCAACAATGCCCATTTTCACCGCAGGATTCCACGCCCACCACAACCACACCCAGGTCGTACCACTTGCACAGAAGAAACTGAGGTACACCCTGGTGGAAGGGGCAGCACACGTGGGATACACTCTGCCCCTCCTAGGCTGTGAGCCCCTGGACATTGCTAGGATTCAATTTATGTGGAGCCTCAGTTTCACTATATGGAGGACACAAACAATACTGTGCCTGCTTGGACACCTGTCAGACTGAAAGTAGAGGGTAAGGAGATGACATGTGGGGAAACTTGAATTTCATTTATTGATTTGCAAGTATGAGGGAGCTTCAGTTGGCTGTGGTGTGTTCATAGCCAGCGTCTTCACAGCCCCTGTATTTAAATAGGACTCAAGGTGACGACGTCTGTTTTAGATGAGAGAATGAATGAAAGAAAAAAGCCATCAGGATAGTGTGATTGTCTGGGAGCTCAGGAAGGAAGACAACAGGGACAGAGATGGAACATAAGAGCCCACTCTGAGTGTGTTTTCCTCACAAACATCACCAATGACAAATTAACAAAAAAGAAAAATGGTCAAAACATTCAAATAAATTCACCGGTAGTTACAAAACACAAATGTGCTGTTCATTCTCTGATATCACTCTTATTCTTGGGTCTGCCACTCACCTAGTGGTGGTGGCGGCAGCTATGTGCCATTGAGTTGGTTCTGACTCATAGTGACCATGTATAGGGTTTCCGAGGCTATAAATCTCTACAGGAGCAGAAAGTCTCATCTTTCTCCCACCTGCCTTAAAAGCATCCCATGGGCATTGAAACAGGGAGTTAGGAGGTAGAGCCGAAGGCCTCAGAAGTATGCCTGAGAGAAATTAAATAGAGCAGAATCAGCCAACAAGAATGAGGGGAGTCTTTACCTGAGAAGGGGTCAGGGAGATGATCACAGCATCTGAGGTGTCAGTGCTGAAGTTCCGGACCAAAGTCTTCACAAAAGTCATATTCACTGTCTCTGTTGAACTGCTCTCCACCAGGTAGACCTCAAAGCCTTGCCAGTATCTGCAAGGGACCAGGGATAAGGGTAGAGAGTAGGATCTTGCAGGAGGAGTTACCCACTCACCTGGTTCCCAGTCTGACTGCCATCAGAAGAGATGAAGAGATACCATGGGCTCTTTGGGTGATATGTGTGGCCCAGAAGACCAAAAGGCAGACCCTGGGATCGTTACAGGAGGAAGTGGGTGAGTGGGGAACAACGCAGGCTGGTCTTGAGGAAATCCAACTTGTCATTCTTACAAGTGACCTCATGGCATGACTGAACATGTCAGCACCTTTACTGAGGTCTGCCTTAGTTATCTCGTACTGCGATAACAGAAATACCATAGGTGGGTACCTTTAGCAACAGAAATGTGTTCTCTCACAGTTAAGGAAGCTGTAAGTCTGAATCCAGGGTGCCAACTCTAGGGCAAGTCTTTCTATTTCTGTCAGTTCTTGGGGAAGGTCCTTGTCACAATCTTCCCCTGGGTCTAGGAGCTTCCCAACACAGGAACATTGGGTTCAAATGACATGTTCTGCTCCCAGCTCTTCTTTCTTAGTAATATTAGATCCCTCTCTCTCTGCTCACTTCTCCTTTCTTTTATCTCTTGTAAGATAACAAGTGATGTAAGCCACACCCCAGGGAAACCCACCTTACATCAGATCAGGGCTGTGATCTGATTAAGGGTGTTGTTTCCCATCTTAATCTTCTTACAACAAATTGACTGATCACATCATTGGGAATGATTACGTTATTACACAACTTCCACTGAGATGTGGAAGATACAATTCCATCTATGACAACTAAATACGGAGAATTCAGCCTCTGAAGCCTAAGCATGTCTGGGAACAGAGCTAGTTTTGGAACCACATAGCACACAAATTTCATTGGCACGCATTTTACTGCTGTCTCATTATCATCTTTGTTATATGCCATTGAGTCGATTCTGCCTCATAGCAATTGTACAGAACAGAGTAGAACTGCCCCACAGGGTTTCCTAGGCTGTTATCTTTATGGGAGCAGATTGCCAGATCTTTTCTCCCACTGAGTGGCTGATGGGTTCAAGCATCCAACTTTTTGGTTAACAGCTGAGCTGTTACAATAACTATAACACCTAACAGCCTAATTTAGGGAGATCAGGATGGTCATGAATGCTCTCCACAGTGCTGCCTATAGGTGCTTTCCATGGTTCTGAAACCTCCATCTGCAGGACACCATTCCTTTGGTATACTTGGGATCCTGAGTACTGCTGCCTAACCTCCCCTAGCAACTCTGAACAGGTGAAAACTAAGGGAGTGGTAGGAGAGAAGGGAAAAAGAAGCAGGTACAACCAGGGCAAGGCTATTGGAAAGGAGTAGCTATAGAATGCTTCTGTGCTTGTAGCTAGGGTCTTTGTAATTCCTACCAAACACTGGGTTGTTGTTGTTAAATGAGTGGGTTGTTGTTGTTGTGAAGTGCTGTCAAGTCGATTCTGACTCATAGCGACCCTGTATAGGGTTTCCAAGGAGCTGCTGGTGACCTTGAATCACCAACCTTGCAGTTGAAATGACCTTGCAGTCATTATCCCACAGCATCGGTGTTGTTATTGTTGTTAGGTGCCATCGAGTTGGCATTGACTCATAGTAACCTTATGAACAGCAGAACGAAACACTGCCTGATCCTGGGCCAACCTCACTACTGTTGCCACGCTTGAGTCCATCGATGCTGCCACTTCTCCAATCCATCTCGCTGGGGGTCTTCCTCTTTTGCTCTGACCCTCCACTTTACTAAACATGATATCCTTCTCCAGCGACTGATCCCTTCTGACAATATGTCCAAAGTATGAGAGA